GAGGGCGTTGGTGGGGGGAAGGATCTTTGGAAAGCTTATGCCGCTAAAACTATCTGTGGATATAGACTGTCTGTCGCCTGCCAAAAACGATTGGGAGTCGCCACTTGTCGCCCTTGACTAATGGTAAGCGCGTTTTGGGTCGAACAGTTCGAACCAACACTTTAGGGACTAGAGGTCTAAAAAAATTCGTACAGCTGCCTGTGTTCACCATTCCTATCCTGATTTTTGGGAAACGGATTGTCTTTAAGGATCCGTAGAGTGGAAAAGACATTGAAGAAAGAAGTATGAGGAAGAAAAATCTTCTATTCAGTTTTTCGAAGATTAAATTGTAGAGATGTTCATTTAACTTTAGATTACCGAAATTTCTGACGATTAGGAAGGATTCTGACAGATAAAGCGCTTCACCAAAGTCTCTACCCTTCGATTTCCTTCTGACGAGCGATAGGTTCCATCTGATTGAGCCCATTGAAGCGTTTTCGTTAGTTCATATCTTCCCACACGATGAGCTGTAGGTTAGGGAGTCGCCTAAGTACTCTTTTCCGAGTGGATGATCCTTCTCTGTCATCCCCTCTACGTTTGTCTTCTTCGTTACTGCGTTACCCCCAATGCTGGTTTTCCTTTGTAGAATTACACTAACTGACGCAGCTTAGCTTCTAAATAGATATTGTCAGTGGCAATGACCATAGAACTGACTTTTAAGCTCTTCCAGCGACGACGATGGCGAGTCGACTCAAGATGGTCTGGATGAGGACGTGTCCGAGAGTAGCGTGCTGGGTGATGGGTGAGCACTTTTGATGTCGACCTACTACTTTGAATTACATGCATCCCCAGTGCTTACAGAGATGACGAAGCTATAGAGCTCGATGCAACGTTCATTTTGGAGGACACCAAGCTAAAACTTATTGAGTGAGCATTTCGAATTTGTATGGAATTTGTCCAGCTTCTGTTCACGGATAAAACCATCTCGTGTTCTAGAGAATCTGGCGACCTTGCCAGCCATCGCCGGCAGTCCCTAGCTCCAACAGCTTCGACGGCAAAGTTGAAGATGTTAAGAAGAGCGAACAGCACTGACAGCAACTCAATAGTTCGACCTGATGACGATTTCAAACCGCTTCAGGCAAGTGCTTGAGGAAAGAAGTGGAGGATTCCGTTAATCGCCTAACCCTTTCAGCCTTTAAGCCCGACGGCAAAGAAAAAGACGGGTAGCCGTATGGGTTTCACAAGGGCTAAGAAGAATTTGAAAGCGTTATTCGGTCGACGAAGTGTTAGCATTAATGAAGAAGATGGGGTTGATGTTGAGCATCCGGTGAGGTGAGTTTTGTTCCATGGAACTTCCGGGAACCATTGAAACACCTACAAAGCATTTTCGGAATTACCTAGACTTCTACAGTGCGCTTTTTGTAGTAACGAGTTATCTCCTCCTGCTACGCAGGAACATCACCTCAAAGTTTCCCGACTTCACAGGCAGGAGGCGTGTGCAGTTTGCAATCGGCATCTGAGCGGTTTCATCACTCAAGCCTACAAGTGCTCCCGTGAGTTCCCGAATAGCATCAGATTCAACCGAATACCCAGAAGTCCCATTCAGAATGCAAGCTCTGCTTTCACAAAGAGTGCTCGTCTTTTGCCAAGTCCCTTCCCTGCAGTCCTTCGTCACCGATAAGGTCGCCCACGAGGTTTGGCTCGCCCCGAAGAGCCTGGGATATTGTGTAAGCTATTTCCTTCACAGTTCATCACTGGATAGTTTCGTGAAATCTTGATTCAGAAGTAAACCGCGGCCGTCGATGGCAAACGAAACGGCCTCCAGCTACTCCCGATCCTTCAACCTCAACAAAACCAAGCAACAGGTATTGACTATTCAAGGTTTCCTGTCCAAATGAAGTTAAATGCTTCAGACCGATCCGGGTAACATGATCGTGGAATCGACAGAGGATTTGCGCCAGTTCAGTGTGTTCATATTTAAAAAGCAAATGAATCTGGACCAGAAGAAGAGCAAAAGGGACACGGTCGTCGACGCCCTTTTCAAGAAATCGCTACGAGAGTTCCACATGGAACTCATCGGCTATGAAGCAGTGCTCAATGTGAGTTTTCTCTGAGAGAATGCTCTGGTCAGCATGCCTTTCTTCTTCCTAATGTCCCTACAACTTCATAACCTGGGCATCCATTGCCTCGTTCTTTATGCTCGTCATCTAATATTTCATCCTCTGTTGAAATTTATTAACCAGAATTGAGAGGAGCCAGTGCGGGCCCTACAGCCGGTGAACCGTGCGAAAATTTTTCCGTTTTTCAAATGGGAGGGGTTTCCGGTTGGTTCCGCTCTCTAACGAGTGTGGGTGCTTCTTCCCAAAAAGCACGTCGCGTTCGCACCCAATCATGCGCTATGATGGAAAATGTTTATATTTCAAGTGGACGGATACGGTAGCCACCGCGGAACCAATGCCGCTTACCGTGGGAATTCGGGGAAAAGTACCGCCTCCCGACTGCAACAATAGCTTCTTGCATCTTCAGCTCTCGTAGTAGAAGTTTGTCAACATTTTGTCTGTGTTTATGTCAACAACTATTTCAAGGAGGAACGAGCAGTGCTGAAGTATCGCGATTTGATCACAACGTTCGAGGGAGTGCTCACGAAGGTATGTAAGGAGGAGAAGGTGTCCTTTCCAACGACGTTGGGAGTAAATGCCTTCAGGTACGTTCTTGTCTATTTCGGCTCTTTGATACAGACAAAATGTCGGATGACGAGGTTTTTAGGGGTTTTCTAAATGAATTCATGCAAAATCAGAAGAAAAAAGGCTCAAAGCAAAAGTCAGGTATTATAAAGGTACAGTCTTGTATGATTTGAGCTTTACTTTACCTACACTTGTCGCTTTGTCACAATCGTTAACTTGGCTAAGCTAATTTGCCGTCGCTTCGAATGCATCTATGAATTTCTAGAGCGTACGTAAGAAACGTCGACGTTCGGATGTGACCGTGGTGAGATATACACAGACACAATGACTGCTCCATAACACTTCCACATCAAACCTCACTAACCGCATGTTCACTTACATCATCATCCCCTACCTTCCCCAGACTTGCTTTCTGTTCACATTCTGTGTGACCAACTGATTTCAACAATGCAAATCGCCGTTGCCTCGCGCCATGAATGCTAATCGAGTACATCCGATCGGCGTATTCTTCACGCTGAGTGATATGATCGCTCCCAAGCGGAGCAAGTTGACGATTGTCTAAGCTCACAGCACTGATCATTTGATTCACTATGCTATTCACTATTCACATCATGCCAAGAGCGATGGGAAGGCGTCAAAAGTCACGTCGGCACACGCCATGATGGTTCGACTTTTGACACCTGCTGTGCTTTGGCAACCTAAAGACGGCAGATACGATAAAGTGAAATCCAGTAATCCAAAGAATTAATCGAAGTAAGTGCTGGTGCAACCCACTTAACACACACTGCCTAGCTTGTAGCAGCGATATTGGGAAGGAATCATTGACCACATACTGCTTTGCAAAAGTATGAGGAAACCTCATTATTTTGGTTCCCCGAGCTTGCCAGTGAATTTTTAGCTATAATAGCAAAAGTAGCAAATAACTTGGACTCTACGGAAGCAGGATGAGCATGCTGTCAGCGTTACTCAACGCGCTTTGAAAAGGACGATGCTCGGAATCTCCCTATACACGGAAGTGCAGAAGGGAATCCAGAGTTCCGAGCTCCGTCATCGAACGAAGATCAGGGATGCTGTAATTATGCCAAAAATCGAAGATCACGTGNACGAACTCCAGAAAGGCCGCCAACGAGATGGTCTGACTTGTTCACAAAAGCTCTGTTTGAAGGGAGTGTTGAACTTCGTGTCCCTGAAGCGAGGACGATTCATTGGACCACTCTGGCTCGTGACAGGGAACAACAGAGACGTTACTGGCGCCCGCTCGAGAAAATCGATGGTCAACGGGACGACAGGTGACAGGTGAATAGCAAAAGGCTCCAGTTATAATCATGTAGGTAAAAGTCAAGAAGAAGTAAACGAAGAGAGAAATAATAAAATAAAAGAATACAAAGAAACATTATTCGTTTCGCCATTTAACACGGAATCATGTTTTTACGCTAGTCCCCGAGGCTCATCAGTGAGTTGGGACTAGAGTAATAAATAAGAGAAAAATACTTATACTACTCGAATCCTCGTATGCGAAGACCTAAGCAAACCTGTTCTATTGAAAACTTCGAAGAGCTCTCACATTTTTTTAAAAATTGAGTGTAGTCTTCTTGGTATAACAGAAATATGTAGCCACCCAAGTTCGGACTTTGGTGCAAAAATGCTGAAGCGTTTTCGGAAGTTTTGTCTCCACTGTTCTGTGGACATTCCTATCCGTGGTGAGCTTTTCTCTGAAGAAAAATAAGCCAGTATGATGCCACGCAGTTCCTTCTTGTTTATGGTGTGCACCGAGAAGAAAAAGAAGAAAAATGGGAGCCTTTTCACGCGATGTCTCATGGGCGAGAAAAAGAAGATGATTACATTACTCAATCTTGATCGCCAAGAGAATTATGTTCGTTCACATTACAAAGAGTCATCAGAGACAAATAGAGGAAATTTCGTAAGAAATAGATCAAAAGAAACATCGCAAAAATAGACAAGCAATTCATGGAGCTGGGCATTCGAGTAGACAAATCGCACCTCAGCTCGGACGCTCTCCATCGTGCAATTTGAAATTGCTTTGGAAATCCGGGCGCCTATCGCTCAGCTCGAGTTGTGGGGCGGCAACGAATCTCGATAGCTCCAGAAAACGGACGAATGGCACGGGTGTCCTCAAATTCTACCTCATCTGTGATCCAAAATCGCGCTTCAATGGGTTTGTCGGTCTTAAAGATGGTGAATTCGCGGTCCATTCGATCGAAAGGGTGTGTTACGTGAAGGCTAATAAAAAAAACGCCTCTTCCAAATGATAGCACAAAATAGTAAGTTAGAAATCGCACGCAAAATCATGACAACTCCGTGGGGCAAGGTGCAACTTTTCGAGAGTTTCACAAGTTTGGTTTAAAAATCAACTTTCGCAGATACTCCGTCCAGGTTACCTTCAGTGATGAAAGACGTTCAGCCTGGACGGTTTAGATGGACGTAACAAATGGATAGATAGGAGTATCAAGAAGTGCTTCAGTTCGACCTCCTGCCATTTCTCAGAGGTGCGCGACACAGGACACATGTTTTCCAGCAGCAGAACACCACATTGTTAATGTGGTGGATTGGATAACCTGTTTTCCTGACTGCAACTTCATCGAAAACCTACGGGGGATCATGGTTCGGCGGGTCTAACTCAAGGACCGTCAGTACAGCAGCGTGGAATAACTGAGGGCAGCGATCGTCCATCGGGAAACTTGATTTAGAGTATGCCGAACAGAATATCCGAACTAACAGGAACTCTGGAGATCCGTCGATTACTGAACTTGATCATGTTCCTTCGTTCTGCATAATGTCCGCGTACTTCAAAAAAGTCAAAGTTCTTTGAAGTTTTCAAAAAAAGGGTTCCGCATCCGAGTATTTGTATAATAGAAGAGTACTGCTTAAAATTCACTGGCAAGCCCGGTAGACCAAAATAGTGAGGTGTCCTCATGATTATGTTGCGCACTTCATAAAGCTGTACATATAAGGATTGTGAAGAAAACAGACTGTATCCGTATATTATTCGCCCAGTCTCACTCCGTTATCGGTTCCTAAAAAAAGCCAAAAGTTGTGATGAAAGTTAAGGAAGCCAATGGTACACATCAATTTTATGACACATGAATCAAATCCCAGTAATTTGTATGGTAACAAGCAATCTAGCGCCTTTGTTGCAACTCATGGGATCTGATGTTGGGCATGTTAGGAAGTGGAGAACGCTGTAAGCGGGGAATGTAGGGAACTCCAATGATCACATTCAAACTCGCTTGAACATTTGAGCGACCGCTTGAGTCAGAGAAGTGACGATGAGGCAGAGAAATGGCATGATGTCACCTCGATAAATGGAAGTAACACCCCTTGGTATTACGTGGCGTTGGGCTCTACACTTTAACCCATTAATAGTTCAGATGAGAGCGGCTTTTGCGTGGTGTCGCTGGGAGGAAAGTATGTTTGGCGGCTGTCTTACTCTATGCTGCATTCGTCCACCACTGCTTGATGGGAGCTTTCCCGCACCGGACACTATCACTATCAAGAAGAAGAACCGCTCTCTTTTCTCTCTCGCTGACGTCAGAAAAAAAAGATCTTTTGATATTTCACATCTGTAAAAATCATGTCTTTCTGGTGATTCTCTCTATCCTCGCCCAGTACATTCTTGGAAAGTGGGCGGTGGTGGTACAATGGCAGTAGGCGCACACCCACATTGTCACGGCTTCATATTCCGGATCGACATATATCGATATTCCGGTCAATCAGGCATCCATCTCTCCAGGGTCGATGTTCAGTACCAGTTCGTCTGTTCGGACAAAAGCGCCGACTTGTACATCAGCTGGCCACCGCGAGCCACTGAATAGGTCATGACGTTTCTTACCTCAGACGAGATTGATCAACGCCTGAAGATGTATCCCTCATGACGGGAAGTGACAACTTCGACAAACGAGCAAGGACGTTCTGAAAAGGCTTGCTCGCTTTGGGTCGGTCAAGTGTAAACCAGAATGGATGCTTCGCGAAAATCATTGTTAGAGCAAGACACACGGTATAAAAGGACAACATTGCTCCCATATGGGAACCACTACTTGTCGCGCTTTCCCAGGACAAACCTAACTGGTCTCACTGCGCATCTTGCAACCTGAGCGAATGGGACCGACAGCGAGACCATATCCCCACA